AAAAATGCTGTCATACTGCATGTGATTTATAGTCACTTTATTTTTTTACTTAACATTTATGTTTCTAGTGTTCACTGAATGTTCATCTATGCTTTTTATATTTTCACTGCTATATAGTAATCCATTGTGTGAATGTGTATCATTTTTTAGTCATTCTCCTCTCAGAGTTCGTGTAAATGGTTTCCATGTTTTAAAATTATTGGAACTGCTAGGCATGGTGGCTCACGCCTGTAATACCAGCACTTTGGGAGGCCAAGGCGGGTGGATCACCTGAGTTCAGGAATTCGAGACCAGCCTGAGCAACATGGAGAAACCCCGTCTCTACTAAAAATACAAAAATTAGCAGGGCGTGGTGGTGCGTGCCTGTAGTCCTAGCTACTCTGGAGGGAGGCTGAGGCAGAAGAATCACTTTAACCTGGGAGGCGGAAGTTGCAGTGAGCCGAGATGGCACCACTGCACTCCAGCCTGGGTGACAGAGTGAGATTTCTTCTCAAAAAAAAAAAAAAAAATTATTGGAACAATTGCTATGAACTTTTTTTTGCATGTGTTTCCTACTGTGCACGTGAAAGACTTTCTTTAGGTCAGTGACATTCAAAGTTTGGTCTGCAGACAGTCCACACATTGACACCGGTTCAACAAGATAGGCACAGAAATTTGGACTATGCATTTAGAAACTCATGGCAAGGTGACATTGCTGTGCCATCCAAACTGGTGATTTTTCTAATAATTTATTTGTTTTTATTTTTATTTTTTTGAGACAGAGTTTCACTCTTTTTGCCCAGGATGGAGTGCAATGGTGTGATCTTGGCTTACTGCAAGATCTGCCTCCTGGGTTCAAATGATTCTCCTGCCTCAGCCTCCAAAGTAGCTGGGATTACAGGCACCTAGTACCACACCCAGCTAATTTTTGTATTTTTAGTAGAGATGGGGTTTCACCATGTTGGCCAGGCTGGTCTCGAACTCCTGACCTCAGGTGATCCACCTGCCTTGGCCTCCCAAAGTGCTGAGATTATAGGTGTGAGCCACAGCACCCATCCTATTGTTTTGTTCTGTTTTTTGAGACAGAGTCTCACTGTCACCCAGGCTGGAGTGCAGTGGCACTATCTTGGCTCTTTGCAACCTCCGCCTCCCAGGTTCAAGCAATTCTCCTACCTCAGCCTCCAGAGTAGCTGGGACTACAGGCACGCACCACCATGCCTGGTTAATTTTTTGTATTTTTAGTAGAGATGGGGTTACACCATGTTGGCCAGGCTGGTCTCGAACTCCTAGTCTCAAGAGATCCACCCATCTTGGCCTACCAAAATACTGCGATTACAGGCATGAGCCACTCCGCCCAGCCATCATCACAATTTTAGGCAGAAAAATGTTTATATTATTTGCTTAATATTTACTGGTTTCTTTGCTTCTATTACTTCTTGCTTTGAGGCCTCCCTTCAGAGTTCATTTCTTTAATTCAGAAGTACATCTTTTAGAAGGTCTGTTAATGATGGTCTATTGGTGGTAAACTCTATATCAATGTTTTGGGGTTTTTTTTCTTAATTGTTCTTTCTTGTTTTTCTTAAATCTTTTGCCTTTTTTTTTGAGATACGGTCTTACTCTGTCATGCAGGCTAGAGTGCAATGGTGTGATCTCGGCTCACGACAACCTCTGCCTCCCAGGTTCAAATGATCCTCCTGCCTCAGCCTCCCAAGTAGCTGGGATTACCTGTATGCACTACCACACTTGGCTAATTTTTGTTTATTTAGTAGAGACAGGGTTTCACCATCTCGGCCAGGCTGGTCTCAAACTCCTGTGATCCACCCGCCTCAGCCTCCCAAAGTGCTGGGATTACAGGCATGAGCCACCATGCCCAGCCTCATTCTTGAGATATATTTTTTCTAGGCACACAATTATGGGTTTATTTTTTATTTTTCCTCAGCTCTTTGAAGACAATATTCCACTGGATACTGGCTTCCATTGTTGTTTCGAGAAATATGTTGTTGATCTTATTGTTCTTTTGTAGGTATTTGTCTTTTCTCTGACTGCTTTGTCTTGGTACCCTTCAGTTTTACTCTAATGTGTTCAGGTAAGATTTCTGTCCTTTCTGTGTCTGTGGATGCATGGATGCAGTTCTGAAAACTCTCGGCCATTCTCTTCAAATAGTGCTTCTCCTTTTTTTTTTTTTTTTTTTTTTTTTTTTTTTTTTTTTTTTTTTTTTTTTTTTTTTTTTTTTT